TAGAAGGGTTGTACTCGCTATAGAGCACCCCACTGCAGGCTAGAGCATAATATTCTGACAGTGTCCGTCGGCGGGTGTGCCTGCGTCCGCCCCGACGCCGGCCCATAATTAGCCTTCCACACCTCCAGCAACAGCGTCTCGTAGAAGATGACCTCGACCGACGTGACCACCTTGTTGTCCGTCAGATTGAGCACTTCCCAGCCCTTGCTCTCCGCCGACACCCATCAGGTGAATGCCCCAGCGAGCCTTAGGCGCTAGCTTCCCTCCGCGCTGCTGCTCAGGGACCATGAACTGCACCATGCAGCCCCACACCCTCGCCAACATAAGATCGGGCTTCATCCTGATCAGCAGCTGGAACGGAGTAGTTCCCGGCGGCAGTGTCGACCGCTCCAAGCAGTTGCGCACCCAGACGGCCTGCCGCAGGGCGAGGTGCCACCAGTGGTGCTGCACTCCCATGTGCAGCAGCATCGTCCGCACTGACTCCACCACCGTCCGCATCTCCCGCTCCGCCATGCCGTTCTGTTGCGATGTGTATGGGCAGGTCAGGTTGTGGACGATACCCTTGCCGTCGAAGAAGGCGGTGAACTCCTTTCCCAGGAACTCCTCTCCTCGGTCAGAGCAAAGCATCAGCATCGACTTCTTCATCTGTCGCTCCACCAACAGCAGCCATTTTTCAAACTCCCGCAGCACGTCCCTTTTCTTAGCAACTGGCTTCACCCACACAAACCGAGTGTGGCGGTCCTTCAGCAGCAGGAAGTACAGATTGTCGTCATTGGCAGCCACCCAAAACGGCCTGCACAGGTCGATGTGCACGACTGCCAAGGCCTTCTCTGCGTCCGTACCCTTGTCCGGGAAGATGTGTCGCGCCACCTTCCCATTGACGCACGAGACACACGGAAAGTCGGTCCCGGTCCACGACTTGATGTCGAGGCCGGTGGCAACTTCGTGCTTCGCCGAGCTCTTGATTGTATCGACGTCGACGTGCGCAAGCCAGGCGTGCCATCGGTCCGGGGTCGACTTCGTCGCTGAAGCAATCGTCTGCAGAGCCACCACCTCAGGCGAGTTCGACGACATGTTCGTGGAGCAGGGGCAAAGGTCGGTGCAGAGGACGCGGCCAGTGTAGCATGCCCGACCGAACACCTCGCCTGCACTCGACACGAGCAGCATCTCGTCGTCGACGTCTTGCAGCTTCACGCCACTCTCCTGCAACTGGCCGGCTGACAGTAGGCTCGCCTGCACTCCCGGAACGGATAGCACGTCGGGGATGAGAACCTGCTTCCCGGCCTCGCCTTGCAGAGCGGCAGTGCCACAACCCTTGACGGTCTGTAGAGCCCCGTTGAAGCCGCACACATGCTTCACATCGTCGTGCCATGTCGACGAAGACCTCCTTCGTCCCCACGAGGTGGTGCGAGCAGGCGCTGTCGAGCAGCACCACCATTGGATTTGCTTGTATTGCGGCCGTGACCGCCTTGAAGTCCTCCCCGGCTTCCGGCACAAGCGAGAGTGTCGGCTCCACCATGCCGACCATCGAGCACGACGTCTCATCGTCGCCTCGACCCTTGCCGCTGGAGCTGTCGACGTCCTTCGTCGACGGCATCTTCTTCGACACCTACTTCTCCTTGAGTGGTTTCTCATCTCGACGTGCGCGACGACTGGCCGACTGTCCGCGGCCTCCCTTGTTGTCGTCCTCGTCACTGACGTCGTAGTTGGGGCACTCGAAGGAGAGGTGGTCGGGGTCGCCGCAGATCCAGCACTCCTGGCGTCGACCGCCACCTCCGCGACCCTTGTCCCGCATCAATTTCGTTTGGTCGACATCCTTCGTCAACCTCCCACCTCCGCTACCACCTCCGCCCGGCTTCACGGCTGCCCCTGCTGACGACTCTGTCTCGTCGGTGCAGCCTAGTTCGCCTGCGGAAGCTCCGTGGGCCGTTCTGCCTCCTGCATCACCTCTTCCTTGATGACGTGGCTAATAGGAGTGTCCTCGTCGAGCCACTCCCGCATGCAGGGCATCACCATCACCCGGCGTATGAGGTTGTCATTGCTCGGGAGATCCTTGACGCCGTGTGTGATGTACGACGCCGTCGAGTAGTCCACGCCCACCATCGGCATCTCGACGAGTATCCGTCGAGCACAATTGCAGTAGTCCGTCACCGACTCCTACTCACCCATCCGGAGGTGCGTCATCTGCTCCTCCATCTGTACGATGTACATGTCGTCCGTCGCCTGGTACGTCAACAGAATGAAGCGCCACGCTTGGTGGCCATCGTCCAATCGCTGTCGACATGGCTTCAACGCTATCTGCACCACCGACGAGCTGCACCGCGAGATGACCATAAAGGTCAGCAGGTGAATAGCGCGAAACTCTGCTCGTAGCTTGACATCGTCCTCGTCCAGTGTTGGCACAATGTCTTCGGCGAAACCTTTTAGCCCCGCGATCTCCAGTTGGGGCTTGACAGCCTCCCTCCACGTTATGAGGTCCCGTCGACCTTGCAGCGGCGTGTTCACAGAGATTTTGTCTGGCGAGAACTTGAAGTACCCATACGCCGGAGCAATCCCGCCCGTTGTCACGTGCGTTGTCGATGTAGGCCTCCCACTGCTTCTCAGAGGTGAGTGACGTCGACCGTCAACGTTGACACGTGAGTTGCCTACGGTCATCCTCGACCGCACTGCACTCGCGCCTGGTTCCTACCAACACCACCGTTGACGGACCTGAGCATTCCTATCTTTCTCGTGCCCTCGCTGTCGCCGACTCGGTCACTGCCGTCGACCACCTCGTTGACGCTGCCTTCGTTTTGCACCGGTCGAGGAGAAGCGGCCTGGGAGGGGTGTTCCGTCGCCCAGTGCGCATGGAACCTCAAGATAACCACGTCCAAGGGGAGCACCTGCCCAAACTCGCCACCCGCGTGGCATCTCCTCGCATCAGCCAATCGAGCCTCCAAGGTGTTCGCTACGCCCGCTTCAACTACGGGGTCGACCATGGCAACCAGGATGGCTGCCGGCCTACGAACGACTTAGGTAAGTGATTGGTCGATTTGTATCTGAAGGTAATCTGCGGGGTCGTCCACGCTCACCGCACCATGCAGAGAGTCACTCTTTAACGTTGGTGGGGGCTTGAATATGGGGTTGGCACGAGTTGTGTGAGTGATCGTAGCGTTCCTTAGCGTTCTCAAGCACTTGTACGTTCACAGAGCAATTTAGGAAGAGTTTCACTAGGGAAAGTTGCATTGCAGAAGGATAGCAATAGGAAAGGCAACAATGACTACATCAGAGCCTAGCAGCCTAGCAGGCAAGCTGGTCGACCGCCAGCACAGCAAGGTCGACTGTCTGCCAGCGTAGCGTAGAGGCACTGCGCCACCGTTGTAAAAGAGCGAGCCAGCAGAGCAAGTCCGCGGCTCACCAACGCTGCACGAAATGGGCTTGCCAACGCTGCAGCAGAGCGGTCTACCAGCGCTGTAACCGCGGGTGACAGTAGCGTAGGTGCGCACCCACTTCGCAGGTGCGTAGCGACTGTCAAGCACGTCCTCCACCGTTGCGTGGGTGCCAAGTCGGCCACGTGCCGACGATCGCGCTAGAAGCTCCACGTCGACCTCGGGATACTAGCCCGAGGTCGCCTTCGCCATCACGACCTCGACGACAATCGCGTGCCTCCGCAGATCCTCATCGAGGTAATCTGGTCAACCGGGTTGACCACCCTGTGTCCTGGTCGACGACTCTCTCGTCGACCACCACTCTGTCGAAGAGAACCTTGGTCCACGGACCCTTTCGTCGTTCGACTTGGTCAGATGCAGCCGTCGAGCTCCCCTAGTCGACGGCATCGCCGCAGCGGTCCCTTGCAGCTCGACCAAACCTGTCGAGCTGGTCGCCCAAGCTGGGGTCGACCACTGCGTACAGTCGGCTGCTTCTCCCATGCACTCTGTCAAAACATGTTTTGTTTATTGTTTGTAGGCTGTAGTGGGGTAGCTCATATGGGGTACAACCCAATTTAGGGTTAGTACTTGTACCCATCTTTCTTTCAATGCAACCCATTTCTCGTGTGCTATTCTGACATGGTTTCAGAGCAGGTCCTGTTCCAGGACCGTTTTTTTTAAGGGGCACACCGAATAGCTTCCTGTCGTGCCCGTCGCGCCGCCCTTCTGGTCGCGCGTGCCGCCCTGCCCTGCGGTCGCGCCGCCCTGCTGGTCGCGCGCCCCGCCCTGCCCTGCCGTCGCGCCGCCCTGCTGGTCGTGCGCGCCGCCCTACCCTGCCATCGTACTGCCCTGCTGGTCGAGAGCGCCGCCCTGCCCTGCCCGTCGTGCTGCCCTGCTGCACGCGCACTGCCCTGCCCTGCCTGCGCGCCGCCCTGCTGCTTGCGCGTCGCCCTACCCTTTGCGCCGCCCTGCCGATTGTGCACCGCCCTGCTCTGCCCGTAGCCGCGCCACCCTCCCAGTCGTGCGCTCTCTTGTCTGCTTGAGTCGCCCCGCCTAGCCAGCTATGGCTTCTCTCAGTGTTCTCACATTCAATTCTGAGGGCCGTCCGATCCAGTTTGAGACCTGGCTAGACGACTTACAGCTGTATTTACAGAGCGAGACTAGGGACGGTGACTTGCTGTTTGAACACACGTCTGGGACCTCTCTCGCCCACCCTCGAGACAGCTGACAATCCGACTCGCTTACAGTGGCTTACCCGAGACGCTACTGCTCGCCTCGCCGCTCGCAACCACTTGTCGTTAGGCGAACACGCGCATTTCGGCTAGCATAAGAATGCTAAGGCACTGTACAACGTTGTAGTCACTCGTTACTCCTCTCCGACATTGCTGCTCTCGGCCAACTCATACTGCCGTACCTCTTTCCCGAGCTATCCGACTTTCTCACAGTCGCCAAACTCATCACCCACGTTCGCACTAGTGACACTCGCTATCGTGCCGCGCTTAAGACTGAGTTTCTCGACAAGACACCCCCCCCCCCCTCCCCCCATCTACATCACTCTTTACTTTGTCGTCACCCGCCTCCCTAACTCTCTTCATGCAGACAGGGACCTGTTTCTCGCCCTTGACCCCACAAACCTCACTGTCGACCTGCTCGAGAAGCACCTCCCTGCAGGTGAGACTAGCATTGTGGCTGTAGCTGCTTCTCGTGACACTCCTCGCACTCCCTTCTTTGAGGGGTGTTCCCCCTCCCCCCTTACCCGCTCAGTCGCTGCTGTAGACTTCCTTCGTGCTGAGGAGGTCGGGGCTGCGTCTGCTCCTAGTGGGAGGCGCCGCAGCGGCAAGGGCAAGGGAGGCAAGGGTGGTGGGGGTGGCGGCGGCAGTGGAGGCAGTGGTAGTGGGGGTGGAGGCGGTGGAAGCGGTGGAGGTGGTGGTGGAGGTAGTGGGAGTGGTGGTGGGGGTAGTGGCGGCAGTGGCGGCGGTGGTGGTAGCGGTGGGAGTAGTGGAGGCAGTGGTGGCAGCAGTGGGAGTGATGACGGCGGTAGTGGTGGCGGCCGGGGTGGAGCGGGCCAGAGGGGAGGTTCTGGCGGGGGCCAGCAGCAGCAGCAGCGTCCGCGCGAGACCCTTACGCCCCAGCAGCTTCGTGAGTGGTTTGCTCAGCGTGGGACGTCCGGGGGTAGTGTTCGCTGTCCGTACGTCATTTGCACAGGTCTTAGGACTGGTCAGACGTGCGGGAAGGTTGGACACACACAGTACCGCCGCTTCCTCCGTCTTGAGGACGCCTGGCGCACTGAGTTTGGCGACAAGGCTGCGCTCCCCCGCTCGCTAGACCTGCTTAGGAACGGGGTGGATGTATTTGCTCTTGACTATGATGCGATCCTTGCTGGCATGTATGCTTTGACTGTTAGTGCTGAGGGTGACTGTTACCTGTGTGTGCCGCCTGACCCAGGTATAGAGGCTATTGCTTTAAGTGCTAGTAAGTCTGCTCTCTATGGTACTGCGCCTGCTGAGGCCTTGCACACCTTCACGCTTGACTCAGGTGCTTCCCGCTGTTTCTTTTGCAACAATACCACAATCACACCACTCCCTGCACCTGTTGCAGTCTCACTGGCCGACCCCTCAGGGGGCCCGGTTTTTGCACGTTCCTCCAATGTTCTCCCCTATCCGGAGGTTCTGTCCGGTTCACTCTCAGGTCTTCACCTCCCGTCGTTCTCTACGAACTTGGTGAGTAACGTTGTTCTCCAGGATCCGATGGTCACTACCACCACTCTTGGGGGTCAGCGTGTGTCGATCTGCACGTGTGCACGGACAGGCCGTCACTTGGTCACGTTCACTCGTCGACCTGGTTCGAGCCTGCACAGATGGCTGCGTTTGGTCAGGTGTCTGCGTCAGGTCTGGTAGGTAGCAGCCACCTATTCGTGTCGACTCCTCACGCACCATACTCTCCTTTGGCACCACCGCCTTGGTCACCCCTCCCTGCCACGCCTCCGTGGCATGCACTCCCGCCTCCTTGTCTCTGGTCTTCCCAGGTCTCTGCCCCCCCTCCCGCGCTCGCCTGCGCCACCCTGCCTTCCTTGCGTCGAGGGGCGGAAGCATGCCGCTCCTCACTCCTCCTCGTTTCCCCCGACGACTGCTCCCCTGCAGACTCTCCATATGGACGTGTGGGGCCCAGCCCGCGTCAATGGACAGGACCGCGAGCATTACTTTCTGCTGGTTGTCAACGACTACTCGCGTTACAACACAGTCTTAGGGGAGGTCCCTGATTTCTTGATCCCCTGAATTCGCGCTGTCCGTCTCCAGCTTTGTGAGCAGTTCTAGCAGGACCTGCCTGTCCTGCGTCTGCACTCTGACAGAGGTGGTGAGTTCTCCTCCCACCTCCTGCGGGACTTTTGTCGTGGGGAGGAAATCCTCCAGTCGTTCACGCTTCCGGCCTCCCCACAGCAAAATGGGATTGCTGAGCGCCGCATTGGCTTAGTCATGGAGGTGGCTCGTACCTCCATGATCCATGCGGCTGCTCCCCATTTTCTGTGGCCGTTTGCGGTCCGCTACGCTGCGCATCAGCTCAACCTCTGGCCCCGCGTCTCCTTGCCGGAGACCTCGCCTACACTGCGTTGGACGGGGGAGGTTGGCGATGCGTCGGTGTTCCGGGTCTGGGGTTCTCGTGCCTTTGTCCACGATACCACCGCGGACAAGCTCTCCTCTCGCGCCATTCCCTGCGTCTTCCTTGGCTTTCCCACTGACGCGCCTGGTTGGCAGTTTTACCACCCCACCTCACGCGCAGTGTTTTGTCCTCTTAGGACGTCACGTGCGGTTCCCTTTTACCGTCTCTTCCCCTACCGCACTGCCCCTCTCCCCCCCCCCCGCCGCTCTTCCTCGCTCCAGGTCCCCCTCTGGACCCCTCCCCCCTCAGGGTCCTGCTCCCTCAGGTGTGTCCCAGGTAGACCCACTCCCCTTGGCTGAGCCTTTGGAGGTCACTTCTGACACCTCTGGCCCAGCTGAGGAGGGTGGCGTTGCTGCTAATGACACGGCGGCTGCTCGCCGCTCTCCACGCTTGGAGACCCCTCCGGGTTTTCCACCTCGACCGTCTTCGCCGCCTCTGCAGTGGGTTGCAGTCGACTCTGGTGATCCTGGGGGTGGTGAGCCTGCGGGTGTAGAGCCTGAGGGTGCTGAGTCTGGGGGTAATGAGCCTGAGGGTGTGGGTTCTGGGGGTCCTGAGCCTGAGGGTGCGGAGCCTGGGGGTGCTGAGCCTGGGGGTGTTGCGTCTGGGAGTAATCCGTCTGCTAGAGGTTCTGCGGGTGCCTCGCCGTGGTGTTCTAGCCGGCGGGAGCCTCTCTCGCCACTGCAGCTGCGCGAGTGGTTTCTACGGCGCACCCACCTTCGAAGCGGAGCTAGTAGAGCTGGAGGCACTGGAAGCTGGAGACACTGGAGCTGGAGGCGCTGGCACTGGAGGCGCTGGAGCTGGAGGCGCTGGCGCTGAAGGCGTTGGCACTGGAGGCACTGGAGCTGGAGGCACTAGTGTTAGAGGCGCTGGCTGGAGGTACTGGAGCTGGAGGCACTGGAGCTAGAGGCGCTGGAGCTGGAGGCACTGGAGCTGGAGACACTGAGGCTTGCGGTACTGGTATTGGAGGCACTGCGCAGCAGCGACCGTTTTTCTTGCCGCCGCCGCAGCTGTCCCCGCTACCACCCGACTTTGCACTTCGTCAGGTCCTTAGACTTCCGTCCTCTACTGCCCCTCCTCCTCCCTTTCTGTGCCCACCGCCTGACCCGTCGCAAACGCAGCTACAGCCAGACTCCCCACAGCAAGCTCCGTCTCCTTACACTTCGCAGCCAGCCTCTCTCACAGAGCGTCGAGAGCCTGCATCTCGTCGTGCCTCACCTGCTCGCACTGTTCGTCGTGTTCCTCGTCCTTGTCATCGTCCTCTCCCTGGTACGCATGTTATGGCACTTCGTTCTTCCTCTGTTCCACTGCGTGTCCCCTTGCCATCTCCTCCACCGCCTTCTCTGCCTGACATTCCTGACCTTGAGTCTGACCGTGTTCGTACTGCTAGTCCCATTGTCACGCGTCTCCTGGCCACTGTTGTCACTGACCCGTCGTTTGAGTCTACTGCTGCGCCTGACTTAGTTGCTGAGCTTGTGGACTCTGCTGCTGCATGTCGTCTAGACTACGCTGCTAGTCTTGTTGCTGAGTCTGAGTCTGACTGTCCTCCATCCGTCGCGGGTGAGTGTGCTCTTGGCACGGACGTCCTTGAGGACAGGCAGGAGGAGCTCGACTGTCTTGCGGCTGCTGTACCTCATCTCGTGGCCATGCTGCTTGCCCCTGAGGGAGACCCGGATGCACTGGACATCCCAACCCCGCGCTCTTACGCAGAGGCGATTACGGGTCCCTACTCCTCTCAGTGGCAGACGGCCATGGACGCAGAGATGGCATCCTGGAAGTCCACAGGCACCTACGTCGACGAAGTTCCCCCTCCTGGGGTGAACATAGTCGATGGCATGTGGATTTTCAGGGTGAAGCGGCCGTCAGGTTCTCCGCCTGTCTTCAAGGCTCGTTACGTTGCTCAAGGCTTCAGTCAGCGGCAGGGAGTTGACTTCTTCCAGACCTTCTCCCCTACCCCGAAGATGACCACTCTTCGGGTGTTGCTGCACGTTGCTGCTCAGCGTGACTACGAGCTTCACTCTCTTGACTTCAGCACAGCTTTCTTACAGGGCAGCCTGCACGAGGAGATCTGGCTGCGTCATCCTTGTGGCTTCACTGGGTCGTTTCCTGAGGGTACCCAGTGGAGCCTCCGACGGCCAGTCTACAGTCTCCGCCAGGCGCCTCGTGAGTGGCACGACACAGTGAGGACGACACTTGCAGCTCTTGGGTTTGCTCCTTCGACTGCTGACCCATCGCTGTTTCTGCGCACCGACACTTCGCTGCCGCCGTTCTACATCCTCGTGTACGTCGACGACTTGGTCTTTGCTACTGCTGACACTGAGGCACTCGCCCTTGTGAAGTCGGAGCTGCAGAAGAGACACACTTGCACTGACCTGGGTGAGCTGCGCAGCTATCTTGGCTTGCAGATCACTCGGGACAGAGCACGCCGCACCATCACCTTGACTCATTCACACATGGTGCAGCAGGTCCTTCAGCGTTCGGCTCCGGTTCTCCTCGTCACAGCCCACTCCTCTGCCTACTGGTCACTCGCTCTCAGCTCCACCTTCGGACGAGTCCGTAGAGCCGAGTGGCCCGTATCTAGAGCTTGTGGGCTGCCTCATGTACCTGATGACCTGCACTCGACCTGACCTTGCGTACCCTCTTAGCATCCTGTCCCGCTACGTTGCGCCCGGGAGACACCGACCAGAGCACTGGCGGGATACTAAGAGGGTGCTACGCTACTTGTGCAGTACATCGAGCATGGGGCTTGTGCTTGGAGGGCGAGGTCCAGTTGTCCTCGCTGGACACTCCGAGGCTTCTTGGTGCGACGACCTGTCTACGCAGCGGTCGTCACAGGGTTAAACCTTCAGCCTTGGCTCTGGTTCAGTTTCTTGGCGGTCCACCCGCTCGTCTTCTGTTCTCAGCTCCAGTTGTGAGGCTGAGATCTACGCTGGAGCCATGGCTGCACAGGAGTTGCGTTGGTTGACCTACCTGCTGATTGACTTGGGCGAGCGGCCTCGTTCTCCTCCAGTGCTCTACGTCGACAACAAGGAAATGATTGCCTTGTGTTAGGAGCACCGACTGGAGCACAGAACGAAGCACATCGCCCGGCGCTACTTCCTTGCATGAGAGCTGCAGCAGCGTGGTCAGCTTCGTCTTGCTTACGTGGCCACTCAGGCCAACACTGCTGATATCTTCACCAAGGCCCTTGGGTCTGGTGATCATCAGCGTTTCTGTACTGCTCTAGGCCTTGTGCCTACTCTGCCTCACCTGCTTACTGCTTGAATTTGCTTGTACTGTGATCTATGTTATACATGCATGATTACTCTTGCTAGGTTGTGATCAGTGTTCTGTTTGGGTTTCTTTATAACTATGCTTGTGACCTGGCCTTGCGGCCACTTGCTTATGCTCGGAATGCGTGGTGACGTTGTGATCCACCCTGAGCTTTGCTTTGTTTTCTCTTGACTGGTCTTGTGACCGCCTGTTCTCCCCCACTTCGCCTATGGGGGTGTGTCAAAACATGTTGTGTTTATTGTTTGTAGGCTGTAGTGGGATAGCCCATAAGCGGTGTCACAGAATGTATTGTTGTTTGCAATAGATTCAGTTACTTGCTAGTGTAGGTGTAGTTGGGTTATGCAAAGTACTGTAGAAGGTGAGTTTGGTGCGTGGGGAGTGACGCAAAGTGGTGATTCAGGGACTTGCGAGGCGCAGGGTGGGACAAATTCAAGGGCGAGCCCTGGGCAATCTGAAGGGCCAATCCTAAAGCCTAGCGGGCGGAGCCCAATGTGAGTTACGGGAAACTGCGCGGCACGGGGTAGAGATTCAAATAGACTAGGAACTCACCGCTTAGTTCGTTCTCTCGTTTGTTTGCTCGCTATAGTGGATACATGTTATTGATTGACAGCTAACCCCAACCTAGGTGACGAGGCCACTGTGAGCAGCCATCTGTGGGAGCGGGAATCTCTCACAAATAAGCGAACGACGATCGGGCGGAATGGACTGCCATGAGCTGCGCTAGCAGCAGATGAACTCACGTCGGGAATTTTCACCGTCGCAGAGGACGTGCTCACTGGAGCGTGGGAGATCGCGGACGCGTTCGCCATGGAGGGTGGCGTACCGCACGGATCTGGTGTTTGATGGACGTCGAGAAGGAGGCGAGGACGATCTGCACGCAAGATCGGAGCCCGGGCCTCAACCGTCCAGCAGCGGCCCTTGGAATCTGGCGCGCGGCCAGCAAGGAGAGGGTGGCAGGCGCCGCGACGACGCGGACGTGGTGGTCTTGTCGGATTCGGCAAGTGAGGCCGACGGCGAGGAAGAAGCAGACGAGATCCTGATGGCGCGGGATGGTGCGAAGGACGAAGTCGCGGAAGAAGTGCGCGACGAAGGGAGCAAAGACGCGGGAGCAAGTGGCTCGCCGAGAGGGATGCGCGGAGGCAGCGCAAGGCGCCGCGGAAGCACGGATGCAGGTCGCGCGACGGACGAAATGGGTGACGGCAGCGTAAGGCGCCATGGAAGCGCGGATGCAGGTCGCGCGGCGGACGAAATGGGTGACGGCAGCGTAAGGCGCCATGGAAGCGCGGATGCAGGTCGCGGGGCGGACGAAATGGGTGACGGCAGCATAAGGCGCCGCGGGAGCGCGGATGCAGACGATTCGACCGGCGAAATGTGCGGGAATGGCGCGAGGCGCCGCGGGAGCACGGATGCAGATTGCTCGCCAAGCAGTATGCGCGGAAGTAACGCAAGGCACGTCGAAGACAAGGAGGCTGAGCGCGCGCCAGAAGCTAGACGTGAGGAAGTGAGGAGGCGAGACGCGCAGGCGGGAGCGTATGGCTCGCCCGAGCCAAGAAGCGGACATGAGCGTAGGAGGCGCATGGGGCTGGGCGGATGGCGATCACCAGAGCAGCGGGGAGAGGAAAGGGGGGACGACCGCGAGAAAAGGCGTGCGCAGCGCTCGCCTGCATGGCAGCGGAGGCACAAGGGGGAGGCACGTGTCCGAAGTAGTGAACGATCGCCGTTGGGCATCTTGGGGGCAGATGCGAGAGTGAGCCGAGAAGGAAGAGAAGAGCACCTGCGAGCAGGGGCAGAGGGCGCGAAGGAACTTGGTGGAGAGGCCAGAAGCAGGCAGGAGAAAGAGAAACTTGGGAAGGGAGGAAAGTACCAGCAGAGGTTATGGGAGAAATCGCCAGAAGAGGAATGGAGAGGCAGGCTGGAAGGCCAGAGAGAGGGATGGAGGGGCAGGCTAGAAGGCCAGAAAAAAAGTGGTGAAAGGGGAAGGAGGAAGGAAAGAAGGGAGGAGACGAGAAGGAGCGATGAAGAGCATTGCAGAAGAGGGTAGAGGTCGCAAGAAGGGGGGACAGAGGATGACGAGGAGGAATATGAGTACGATTTGGATCGGCGCCAATGCGGTAAGCGGGAGCAGCGTGAAAAGGAATTACCCCCTGAAGGAAGAGAGGGGTACAAGGGAGGCCAAGAGGGGTACAGGGAACCTGAGGTGGAGGAGAGGAAGAAGCAGGACAACAGAGGGCGGAGAAGGAGAGTTGAGGGACAGCATACGCGACAGAGGAGAATGTATGACACAGAGAGCGTTGATGGAGGAGAGTGTGACAGGCAGCCACGCCAGGGATCAGGCCGAAGGGAGGGGCGCTGGGAAGAACATTCCCCTGAAACGAGGGAGAGACCAGGGTGGGTATTGGAGAGATATGGGGAGGCTCGAGAGAGAGAGAGGGGGGGAGGAGCCCAAGTATGACATGGCAGAGAAGGCGGCAGCAGTCATGGTTAAGCGCTGGGGGAGCAAGGGCAGCTAGGGAAGAAATTGAGCGAGTGCTGTATGGGATAGAGTCAAGAAGCAGGGAGCTGAGGGAGAGGAGGGGAGAGAGTAGCAGGAGGAATGAGATCTCAGGAATTTGGGAGTCAGGAAGGTGGAGTGTGCAGGCCCCACCTCAGGTGGAGGTGCCAGTGCGCTTTACGGGGGGAGCAGGATCAGGAACCAACCTGAAGAATTACCTGATGCAGATCGCAAATGTGAAGTACCGCTGCGATAGAAGCGGGATGGACCCGATAGAGTTTGTCTTAAGCCTACCGAATACGTTGGGGGGTGAAGCTGAAACGCTGTACAGAATGAAGATGGCGGAGTGGCTGAGGCGAGCAGATGAGGATGGAGATGATCCCACGATGCTGTTCCTAGAGCGACTAAGAAAACAGTTCCCGGGCCACACAGCCGACCGTATCCGAGAGTTTCGGGAGTTTAGGCGGGGTGAGGCGGAATCACTTCTCACAAACTTTGAGAGGCTCACTAATCTAGCAGAGGACGTGGTCTGCACGGACAGCAGTATGTTGATTAGCAAGTTTTTGGGAGGTTTAGATGAAGGACTGAGTGGAGGACCGAGAATGAGAGTTTATGAGTTGGGAGCTGAAGCAACGCTGGAGGAGGTGTTTGAACTTGCGGAGAAAGTGGAGCTAGCGCAGAGGCGGTACGAGGCGTACCTGTCGAAGGTGTCAGAGAAAGGGCGGCCCAGGTGGGCTGCAGCGATGATAACTGAGGACGAGGGTGGGGAGGAGCAGTGGCAGGAGAGGCAAGAAGAAACACGGACGTGCCACAGGTGCGGGCAGGAGGGGCATATCAGGAGGGAGTGCAAGAACTGTGATGTGTGCAGAAAGCCTGGGCACCACCAAAGGGACTGCCCAGATGTACCGAGCTGTGAGAAATGCGGGAAAAAGGGGCATCAGGCAAGGAACTACTATGAGGAAGTAAGGGAGGCAGGGAGATCACCAGAGGAGATTGAGGAACAGATCAAACAATTACGAGCCCAACTGCAGGCGCTGGGAGAAAGAACTCAGGGGCAAGCGGGGTTGTACGAGGAGGAGGAAGAGGAGCAGGAGCCGGAACGCTCCTGTGAGGCGCTGCATGGCCATGCGGACATGCGGCTGCGCAGTTGGGGCAGGGACGTGCGAAGGGAGCAAGTTAGTAAGGTAGGGGCATGGGCGTGCATGTTAGTAACGCCAGCAGCAGCGGAAGTAGAGGAGAAGGACGAGAAGGTGGGGGCAGGAACGTGTGTACCAGCAACAGCGGAAGCAGAGGAAAGGGATGAGCAGGTGGGGGCAAGAGCATGTGTACTAACAGCAGCGGAAGCGGAAGTGGTGGATGAAGGGGTGGAGGCACGGGCATGTGTGGTGGCAGCAGCGGAAGAGGAATGGAGAGAAGAGAAGGTGGGGGCACAGGCGTGTGTATCAGCAGCAACAAAAGAGGAAGGGAAAGAAGCGAAGGTGAGGGCACAGGCACGTGTAGTGGCATTAGCGGTAGCAGAAGGGAAAGCCAAGAAAAAGGGGGCATGGGCGTGCGCACCAGCAGCCGCAGAAGCAGAAGGAAAAGACGAGAAGGTGGGGGCACGGGCACGTGTACTAAAGGCAGAGAAGCAAGCGCAGGAAAGTGGGATGGCGGAGCAGCAAGTGAGGAAGCCGCGGGAAGAACATCCAGAGCTGAAGGGGGAAGAAATGGGAAAAGAAGCCATGAGAGGACCCGAGGCGGATGTGAGGAGCATAACAGCAGAGGCGGCATGTAACCGAGGGCAAGGTGACCTATGGATATCTGGATGGGAAGGTCCGGTGAGGGACCCGGCCAAGAAGCAGGAAGAGGCAGAGAGGGAGAACAAGGAAGAGGGGGCATGGGAGTGCCTGACAGCAGGAGAAGGACTGGAGGATACAGTGGGAGTCGCGATGAGTAAGAAAGAACAAGAGGCCATGAAGACAGTAAAGGGGATTAAGGGAGAGACATGGGAAGATGAGTCGATGGAGCGAGCAACAGGTGCTGACGGAACCAGCAGGAATGAGAGCGGCTGAGAACTGGGTGGCATGGGACAGAGAGCATACCTGCAGAGAGGGCCGCGCTGGAAGTGGCACTGGACACACAGAGAAGGGAGACGCAGGACCTGAGGGGTCCAAGAGTGCTGGTGCGAAGGAATCAGAGAAGAGCGTAGACGGGGAACCGCCTGACGGATGCTGCAGTGGTGAGAAGCACCGGCCTCAGCAAGAGTGTCCAGTGACACGTGCACGGGAGACCCGAGCACGATCTCTGG